ACTTGCTAAATATCAAAGTCTTAAAAATAAAAAAAATTATAACGTCATAATCTCCACGATACGCTCCATTCTTTTTTTTTTTTTTCATTAAAAAATCATGCTGAGATTTCCAATCAATTTTCTATCACTCATAGAGACTTTTCTTTCATATTATTCCTTGACTGACATTGGACTTTGGGATCCACAAAAATCTAGCTTAATTCTGAAATTTTTAATTCGAAATTTTCAACCTTACTAATTCTCCATTCAAGAGAGTATAAAATTTATAAATTTTTGCAATATAATACTGCTTGAGGGTTAAATTTCCTCGTTAATGTTGAATCACACAACCTCAGCATGAAGAGCAATTGGATCAATTACATTGACAAATCGCGGCAAACGCGCGAGAATCTTTAAAAAAAAAAAAAAAATAAACGCGACGAATTTTATCTGTTTCCTACTCGCCGTAAAGATGATCTTCGGATCACGGTGGGTGGCCAAGATAAATCTTTTCGGCGAGAATTGCGGGTGAAACGATATTAGGGGCGTACTCACAGTGCACGTGCAGCATCATCCGTTTGCTGACTGATGGTGGTACTCCGTTACTCGCGATGCACAGGTAGGTACCCATCTCGCTTCTGGTTACTTTCGACAGAGTCAGCGTTTCCCCCTCGGCGGTAGCTACTGCAATACAGAAGCCAGACGGAGGGAATTTAAGATTCTGAAAAATCTTACGGATCGTTTGTTGCCGGATCCGAGGAACCTCTCGCGAGGGAGCAAACTTACTAATCGCAAAACTTCCTTACGTGGTTAACTCTAATTCTCATCTCGTGCTGTAAAGTTTCGGTAACGAACGAAAGCTGTATTTTTCTCTCTCTTTCTCTTTGTTTTTTTTTTTTTTTTTTGAAAATAAATTTGTACAGATTAAGAGAAATGAAAAGTTTATTTTTATAAGCGACATCGATCATTTCTGGGAGCAATATCGTTGCTTGAAAATATGGTCTGTTTGAACTCGCGCAAGTAATATTTTTGCTGATTCGAAGGATCTCCCGGTCGAGTAAATTCTGCAAGTTTGCCTTTCGGTTAAATCCATACGAAGGTCAGACAGTGCTGGAAATACAAATTTGTCTGCCGTCTCGGGGCCGGGGATACTTTTTAAATATACACTTTCTTTTTGCAGTTGGAACGTGAATTATTCGACTCTAACAAGCGAGGTTAGATAACTGGATTATTCCTGAGTTACATTCACGAGCGCGAATAATTGTTGTAAATGTCAATATCATGTTAGATAAAAGAATCGAAGTCTCTTCAAAATTTTATGAATAATTCGTATTAATCGTATTGGTTCAAAAGAATACATCGATGTGATCAAACTGACATAGTGTCAAGTTGTGTATATTTAAACGATTTAAATAGTGATTAAATTGAAACTATTATATCTTTATTTTTTTTTTAAATTTTGAATTATTCTTCAAAAAAGAATACGTGATACAATCTATTTTTATATTTTTATTTAAAAAAAAAAAGAAATGGAAATTTGTCTCATACATTAAAAATGTAAGAATTCTTCAGATAGTTTATTCTTGAAGAATTCAATATTCAAATCTTGTGAAGTTTTATAATATCTGCAATCTGATAATTGAACTATGACACGATACATTTAAACGATATCGCTAAAAAGAAATATTGGCACCATTATTAAATGTATTAGATTAAGTTAAATCATTTAAAATTGATACTATTCAATACTGGAACTATCATATGTTTTCTCTTCAAGCAAAATCATGAAATTCTTTTTTATTATACAATCTTTTAGAGCGTTGTTGCACACTACACATGGAAAAGATATTTTGCTCCTCGACTCGAAAGTTGAATAACGAAACGTTTGAATAGTTCTTGTTCGCGAGAGAATCAGCTCGGTGCTCGAGCGTCCAAAGTTTAATGCTTCAATTGAAACTCAATGTCAATGGAAAGCTACTTACACGGTTGAATCGTTTAACCCTGTCGAGTAAATAATCGAATTGGTTCGATTACTAATCAAACACACTGGATTAGGTACGATACGAAGCTTAAGGTTCTGCTATCGTCTCTTTCAATTCAACGCATCGATACTTGCCCGAGCTTCCCCATGAAGCGCAAGGAGGTGAAAATGCAGTTTCACCTTCGCCTACGAATCAGCATTCTCTGAACGAAACGCAGTTTACGTGAAAGGACATACTATCTTTTTTTTCTTCTTTTGTAGAAGAATTCTATTTCTTGAGCTGTACCAACAGTTACTTCGGAGAATGACTTCTCTAAAAATTATTTCGACGAACTCAGAAATGAAATATTTCCTACAATGTGTACAATGAAATTGTTGGATCAAACAGACCAATGTTATTCATTTGATATTTATATAATACATGAAGAAAATATATAGTAATAAAAAGAAAAGCTAGTCTTCTTTTGAGCACTCATTTGTAGATTTCATTATTATAACAAACCTGTTTGAAGGCCTGAATGTTTCGTGCACACGCGTTCGAGTTGATCAACGTTTGACTCAAATGTATCTTTATTTACAGAGCAAGACTCAGTTGATTAGACAAGTTGAAATGAAAGTTTTGTAAGCTACGCGTAGAAAAGAATACAACGCAGGCCCAACAGTACAATTATTTCTCAGACAGCAAGCTTTCTCTTCTAAAGAGTTAAAATCTTTCTCATCTTTCTGTTTTTGGTCGAGAAGTATACAAGTTCTACATACGAAAAATATCGGATGGAAGATAAAGTAAAAAGGGGACGTGTTCTCCAAAAAGATATCCTCGCGCTACAAGTCCCCCGTACTGAAACTCGATCTTACCTTTAAATTGGTACTATTTTACAAAACCGTGCACTCGAGTTCTCCTCCGCGAGCTCGAGCGATTTCTAAAAGAAAATAGGACCGGAGAGGACTCTGCGAGATAATGCGAGAGTCGTGAGCTTATATTAGCGAAATTCATCCCTCTCGAATTATTCTCAACGTTTCGCCACTTAAGGAAGAGATCTATGTTTGGCAGAAGCAAGTCCGGAGAAACGACGTAGCAATTTTTCTCGCAGGACGAAGCGAAGCTTCATGTCTGTCGGATGCGTGGCAAGCAGTCCAAGAGGTCAGAATTTCCCATTTCATTTCTTATATCTTCTGTCACGTCAGAAGCTTCTTATATTTTTTTCAAGTACGATCTACCCTCTCGTTTCCGTAGACGAGATGCTTAATTGCGCGAAAGGTTTCTTATTCCCTTCAAAACTTTAACGCAGAAACGTTGCACCGAAAATGTAGAATATTATCAGAAATCGAAATTTTCATATTTTACACGTGACTCAATTTATTTATAACTTGTGCCTGAAAATCCTTTGAAGGTTAAAATTTTAATAGAGCAGTTCATATCGAAGATATCGCAATATTTTTGTAACTTCTTCTTTTTCATATTTTTTTGAGAATTTCTTGAATTATTGATTTATTCAATATTTGCGCGATTCGATGCAAAGGTCGCGTTTTGCTCGCCTAAATTCGATAGCCTGAAAAGTTATCACGCATCTTAACCCTCGAAATCAATTTCGAATATCACTGGTTCTATGAAAAATGTGGATAAATCATTACGCGAAGCAAAAGAGTATTGGCAAACATGGAAAAATTTTCTGCGAAAGAACAAAAAAGAATTAATCTGATTTTTCTTTTTATCTTCAGCTCATTTCATTTGCAACACAGGGAAAATTTTCATCTTTCAGTCGTAAAATACTTTCATAAAATCTAATCATTCTTTTGTTATTGTTCAAATTGTTCTTCCTGAAAATCTTCCCTAAAGTTTTGCTCGTACGAAAGTTTCGTTGACTTGGTTGCCTCGGTCGGGGAAAGAGGAAGGCTTTCTTAAAAACGTTATGATTTATGAATTGAAACGTACGAGGAGACGTTGACGAATCGGCCTCAATCTCGATATTATACCTGTTTCCCGATTCCAATCTGTTGTGTTTTACGAGCCACTTTACTTACACCGAGAATATATTATCGTATTATATACACATCATTGGCATCGTCATTTCTCAATTCTTATCTACATTGGGGACCGATCTAAGCACTATAAATCCACTTTTATTCGCTATCGATCAACCATAGCGATGCAAATTATACGTTGCATCTTTATTAAATTACAAATTACAATGGAAACAATAATGCATTCGACGAAACCGAAGAATAAAAGAGAATTCACCATTAATCGCGAATAAAATCGTTAACAAATAACTTCCAACATTGGAATATTTATTTGATTTCTGTCACATGGAATTGCACAAAAGGAAATTTAATAATGAAAGTGGAGCTGAAATAATTGAAATAGCAGCCAGAAAAGGGAGGAGGGTGCGGGGAAGGGGAAATGTTTCCTCGAAACAAAAGTGTGTCCGTTTTAATTCGAATTACACAGTTGATAATTAAAACGCGGTTTACGAAAGGGAATC